CATTCAGGGAAAATGGGTGAAAAAAAGATGGAATGAGCAAAGAAAAGGAAGGGCGTCGGGTTTAAAATTGATCTAGAACGTTAATATTGAAGTTTGATGTTATAGAAAGGTTTAAACTTTGCTGGAGCTTAAATTGCACAAATTAATTTTGTTCACAGTGTGACTACGGCGTCGATTTACTCACGCAACAAAGGGTTGCTGTCCATCGATCAGATGGTTCCGTAGTGTAGCGGTTATCCCGTCTGCTTTACACACCTCTTTGTTTCAAATTTTTTATTTTTTCGTACAGGTTTTGAGTATATTTCCTGTAAATACACTTCTCAACCAAACCCCGGACAAAATCTATGAATATTGAATTTTTTGGACTTTCATTTGTTCTAGTTTGTTTTGTAAGTGTCATTTTATTATTTGGATGTGACAAGAATAATATAACCACATGCACATGTATATTATAAAATTATTTAGCTTAACACCAAGCATCTCTGTGGGTCAAATCGAGTGTGCGCCCGATTCCACAGAGAATATTACTATGTTAGCATTAAGCCTAACTCTCGTAGTGTATATATAATTTAAGTGCATATTACTGTATATAATCTTGAAAAATAAATATAAATGGTTGCTAAAAAAAAAGTGTTGCTTTACACGCAGAAGGTCCCCGGTTCGATCCCGGGCGGAACCACTTTTTTTTAATATGTTAAATATTCTATGAAAATCTGAAATCCAAAATCTTGGACAGAGGGCTGCTGCGAAATTAGCGGTGAGGATTAACACAGGATTGGGAGATCACCTACTGTGAAGTCTATGATTGAGCAGTCGAAATTAACATGGTAATTATATATAGTCAACGCCAAACAAAGTGGCGTGCACGTCATCAAGGTGGGTGTGTTGAAAAATTTACATTGTTGCCAAACTTTTTGTAAAATAATAAAATTTATTATTTACATATCTAGGTTTATAAGCAATATTAACCTCAAATGAGAACAAAAATAATAGTATAATAAAATTATAGATCTGTACTTGCATAATCATTAAGTATGACAATTATTGATCAGATGACACTATGAAACTACCATATTTAATTGATAGCTTAAAGGTACTGAATAAAAATCCAAATGGGGTCCTCCAAATTTTATGCATGGTATTTATTTTACAGAATTCATACAGAAAAATGCATTCTAAAATTAGGTAAGCTACTGGTGTAAGCTTTTTCTGTACAATAAAGTTAGTCGGAGTTTCTTTCTTCAGCGCTGTCTGAATCTGAATCTTCATCACTCTCAAAGTTGATTATTAAAGGTTCGATGTCTGGTCGATCAAAAATTCGTTCTCTTTCATACCATTTAAAAATTTCTTGCTCAGTATGTCGAACACTATTTTTCCACATGTCTGGGGTAACCGTTTGTAGAGCCTCGTTCCACATATCCAAACAGTCTTTTTCACTGTTACCATCTCTACCAATATGTCTGTTATAGTAACCTTTTGCTATGCCCCAAATTAACTCAATAGGGTTAAATATACAATGGTAAGGAGGCAGACGAAGAACTTTGTGCCCATGTTGTTCCGCCAATTCATCAATCACGTATATTTTAGGTGGTTTGTTTCTAAAAAAGCAGTTATTTTAAGAATAGGAATAAACAAAAGAAATATAAACTGTCGACCAAAATATATATAATTAAGAAGCATTATGTACCGAGCAACAATACTCAATAGCTCTGTTTTAAACATTGTGTTTAAAGATGGTATGTTTTGATTTGTCAACCAGTCTTGGATATTTTTTTTTGTCCATGCATTGTTGGGCACTTTGTTCAATATCATGCTGTGATAAGGGGCGTTATCCAGTATAATCATAGATGGACTCTCCAATTTTTCTAATAACTGATGTTGAAACCATTTCAAAAAATTGTCCTGGTTCATCTCTCCATGGTAATCGCTCAATTTTGTTTTCGAAGAAAATATCGCTTCACTACCCTCAATAAACCCATTTTCATTTCCAGCATGTAATATAATGTATCTAAAATATATTAGTTTTAAATTTTATAGTGCAAATTGTGTAAAAGTACATACCTTTTACCATCTGTTTTAATAGCTTTCACGCTTTTTTGGTTTCCATTTTGCCAAGAGCGACCTATGGTCCCATTTTGAAATATCCAAGTTTCATCGAGGAAGACAAACTGGTATAAGGCCTCAACCTTGGCTTGATTGTATTGTCTTTGAAATTCCACCCTTTTCAAAGCTATACTTGGTAGTTCCATGAGCCCTCGTCGCGGATTGTCCTTAAGCCACTTAAATCCAAGATCTTTAAGCAACCGCCTTAAAGACGTGGCACTACCATCAAATAATGCCCTATCTCTTAATCGAGACCATAAAGTTTGTATCGTAACTTGTTCTTCTGAAACCATGTGTAATATGACATTATAATTTAGTTAACAAATTAATGCAAATTTCTGATAAGTTATTATAATAAGATCTTACTTTTGTGATACATATTATAGATCACTTCTCGAATGGCACTTGTATCCAATGTCGCTGTGTTGGTTACACGTTTAATATAACTCCGCTTTTTCTTGGGCGATTCTAAATTTGCATCACTTTTCACACCCTCGGAAATACGACTAACTGTCCTTAAACTAATTTTTAAAGCAGCAGCAACACGCTACAAAAAATGAAATAAATTTTCACTATTATTAATATACATTACATATAATTATTAGTAACCTACCTCTTGAACAGCATTTAAAGGCAACAAAGGCCCGTTGTTGTCCCTTTCTTGCTCAAAGTAGTGCATTAACGAGGCCACGAGTTCCTTACACCGACTATTTAACTGTTTGGGCATCTTTATATACCAAAATTGCCTTTATCTACTCGTAAAATGAATAATTTTGTTTTGAAACAAACAGTTGTTGATTTACAGTATGCGGGGCCAAAGGATTTATAAAGATTTGAAATGCCACAAATTGATTCAGTGTCAAAATTAATACAAATGTCAGTTCCCAGTTTAAATAAGTTTCAAGGTGACAATGTGTCAACGCTGCGAAATCGGTTTAGTGCGTTTACATGTCGATAAGTGATTGGAGCGTTTGCAAAACATTTTATTTCGCATAATGCGTCTAAATTTATCAGAAAGCAACTTATGTGATATTTTAATAACAATGTTTATATGACTATTAACCATAATAAGAGAGTAATGACCATTTTACAATTTATATATCACATTAATATGAAACTGCAATAGAGCAATTGTTTGTGATAGAAACCTAGGCATTAGGTCGGGGAATTTTTATCGTGATGACGTGCACGCCACTTTGTTTGGCGTTGACTATAAGTATGTTTAGGGATATAGATCCTTCGTCAATATCCAGTAAATATACAAATTACATTTATTAACTAATCGCTATCACTATCAGTATAATCTGAAGATTCTGAGTCGTTTCCTAAGTTAATAATCACTTGTTCAACCACTCTTTCTATACATTGGTCAGTTGTCCACATTTATTCTTCCTCCTTTTTTCCAATTTTCCGGAGTTACATTTTGTACCTCGGTGTGAAAAAGCTGCTTTGCATCCGCGATCTTGAAAGTTGTGTTTTTTCTGTAAACTTCGTTTTTAATTTGTACCCAAATTAACTCGATTGGGTAAAACTCGCAGGCAGGCGTAAAATAGTCCGATTAGTAGATTTAGCCATTTCGTTGATGAGATTACTTGTCAGTACAAATCCTGTTGACTAAACTGCTTGCATGTGCATACGTAATAGCTTTTAGTTATAATTAGATGCAGATGATTCGTATACAAGACTACAGAGCCCAAAAGCAGACATCAAAGGGAGGTCATGGGCGCCATGACCTCTCCCATGGGTAAATCGCCGCCCACCAGTACTGTTCAGTTTATCAGTTTTGAATCGCTGATAGCCTCCGGCACGAACATCTGCGTGAACGTGAATCTTGCTACCACCTGTGCGCCCCTTTCTCAGAGCTCCTTAAGTCCGCCTCTGTGATAAGTGACCTCCCCCTGAATTAAGGCCTGAATCTGCTATTGGTAAAGCCCTTGGTATAATTGTAGGGAGAGTCATAAAAGTACCTACTTTTCCCTCAGCCCACAAGTCGCTACAAAATTAGTCTAATTGATATTTTTGCTGAATATCTTGAAAGAACTGTAAAATGAGGACTACAGAGGTTTTGAAAGCATTTGAATCATTTGCACGACACGCGTATAGCAGAAAAATCAACTGAAGTTACCTAATGCACTACGTAAACAGCAGAATATCCATCGGAAAATGAAGTTTACAGTTTGCTTTATCACAAGTAGAAACATCGGTAGAATTAACATTCAGAGTCTTTAAGATAATTGAACTTTGATATCTTAAGCCTTGCGAGACTACCTACAGAAGAGTAGGTCTTGATTTTTGTCACTACTGTGGGATCTGGTGCTGGATACCTAACCTAATGGCTTCGCTAATTTTGACGTCTACAGTCCAAAATTACAACTTGAATACCTATAAGAGATATAAAAAGTAACATAACCACATACGTATAGAATTTGAGTCATGTATGTATTTATCTCAGTTTTTGGTAGACTGTGTGACCTAGTATCGGCGGACGTGGATCTATTCTACATTACGAGTATTGTCCATTTATAGGCAGAGTTTTGCCTGTCTGTTGCTATATTGTTTCATATGAAACCGGAAATTCCGTCGCTTATTTTAAGGAAACGTAGAGCAAATAGAGAGATTCGATAAAATTGTCAAAATTATGTACGTATTCTGCCTATATCATGGATCAGGACTACCTCCCAATTAGACGTAATCAACAGATCCACTGTATCCCTGTAACATAAATATGTAGGTATATATGCGAAAAATTTCCGACAACGAAACTTATACTAATAGAATTCCTCACCATATCGCCTTTCCTACAAACCAGTAACCTGTCTGTTACTAAACACTCTTGCATAAATGCGTGGTATCAGCTTACCCCTTATTATCAAATATCACCACCTTCCAATACATATAAAAACACAGATATTTACCGTTAAAGGCCACAGTGATCTACTAGCGATCTAAGTCCACAGTAAATTTTGAATAATGTTCCAAATCGTGGTAGCAGCCCTTTTGGTATCCGCTGCAGTAGCGACACCTGGCGGAATTGGTCTTGGTGGAGGGCTTGGAGGAGGTACTGCTGGAGGAGCAGGAGGAGGTGCAGGAGGCGGAAATGGAGGCTATGGGTATGTATTCGAGGTCTGTAAATTAAGTGATGAAACTGTTTTTTTTTTTAGATAGTTTTGTATATGGTTTTCTACTTCGCAAATTAGTAACTTAAGAAATATTCCCAAATAGCGCAAAATCCAATTAGTACTAAACCCTATTTCACGTGTATCCATCACGTTTTGACGCCTAGTGAAGTGAACCGCTGATCAACAAGTGATAGCTTTGTATTAGTCTGTAACGGTGGAAATAATGAATCAGATGTAGGTCTAGTAAAAGTTGCTTGTAGTGTTTTTTTTTGTATGCAGATGAACTTTTCTAAATAAAAGAGTTGTTGGCAAGTACAAAATGGATCTGTAGCAAAACAAACTACAGCTCTGTTACCTGGCGGCGTTGGCGGATCCGTCAGAAGTATGTGTGGTTCGTCGATATGGGGAATTTTGAAATATTACTAGATAATCAGATGTTACTCTACCATAATGGATACTCGTGAAAGATACATTAGTGGACCAAGCGACGCTTTGTCAGTGAGTATCGCGCGGACGACCGAGGTTCGAGACAACGAGATGAACTTTCCTTTCTCTTTTTTATGTGAAATACATGCACCACATATGACTTATTTCTAATAATACATGCTGCCCATAAAAAGGCGCATGTAGGGTTAGAAAACGGGTATTTACAAATATTTCCTAAACTACTACTTTGCGGATTGGATAAATTCTTACAAAATCCATTTTAAAATATTCAATATCAAGTTTTTATAATTACCTAAACTCAACTTTTTGAGTAATCGATCGCTGCAATTCTACGTGGAACACTCTGTATTTGTTTAGTTAACGAACTCTTTTTACTGCTACTCTCAAGCGAAAAGGCTTGGAGGATATTCACAGCTATATTGAAAAATCTTCTGTGCCTCAACGCTCATTTCTGTCGCAAAAGAGTATCATTGTATGATTATCTTAATCTGAGAAAATCTGGAACTTTTTGAAGCACATCAAACGTACTTCTTTAAATTGAAATATTCGTTTCCCAGTTGATTTGTATTTGAAGATGTGAAGCTTTCAGTACAAGGAATTGCACTTTTCATATCGTTCCAGGGATATGGATGTTATAATGGAGTGAAAGAAATACAAATCTTAATTTAATATCCTTTATTTCTTTGAATCGGTGAAATTACTTGATTCCAAATATCTTTGATCGCGAAGCAAGGTCATATTTTTAGGAAAGCGATAGGCTCATTTGGTTCTGCAAGCATATAATGATAGAAAAAATGAACACTTCCAAATCTTGAAAATATTGATTATACTTTCTTATAGGCATGGCGCACATGGAGTGATATCAGGTTCGTCATCAACCAGCGTCGTGACAGCTCATGTACCAGTTGTCACCCATCACGTATCTCACGTAGCTCCCGTACATCATGTAGCTCCTGTACATCATGCTCCTGTACCCGTAGCAACAAGCTCACAGTCTAGGGTAGATCATATCAACCCCAGGCCATTGGTCAGCCATGTAAGTTGCAATATAGGCGCTTTACAAAACACGAAACAAAATGTCGACTGACGATAAAATCACTTCATCTCTAACATACATAATGTTCACGAAATAATACACTTTAACTAAAAAGTTACATGTCAAGCTTATCACTCATCAAAAGCTTTGTCATCTGCAGCTAAAGTCTCCTAAATATGCCTGGGTCATTTCTTATTCAGTTACGTTTATTAAGTGAGCTATTATAAACGAAGAAGACTTGTCTTACTTCTAGCGTGATCTAAGTTTTTCCCTGCTACTATTACTCGTTTGCTTGTCTGAGCTGTCTACAGGATCTTTGCCCGGTAGTCATTGTCTAATGTACGTGAGTGTACGTTAGCTGGTTCTGACAGTCCTAGTTGCTCAGGAACTTAGATAATTCCAAAGAAAAATAAAGAAAAAGACAAAAAAACAGGCGAGCAAAGAAAAGAGGATCAGTTATTTTCTATGAACACAAAGCTATTACTTCACATAACCTCAGTGAAACGACACTAGCGTATTTGAAAAAGTTCAGCTGTCTATGGGTAGATGATATTATAGCTGGATTTTGAACATTTTTTGTAAACGGAGATCTCTTTTAGCATCTTTTGAGGATGAAGTAGTCTCGGAATAGTTCAAAAAATTACCCTTTTTAATTTGCTCTATGTTTTAGAAACGTTGTGCAGTTTCATAAATCATGCTTGTTTCAATAAAAATTCAGACGAAGTCTTCAAAGTAAAAATGCTGAATCTCTAATTAAATATTCCAAAATCGAACGAGCTTATTCTAGACTATTATGAAATTTCCAAGACTTTACCGAGTTAGGTCAACTACTTTTGAATCAAGAACTTGATAAAGAAAAACACCTTTCCAAACGTTTATTCCTGGAAATGTCCCACATCTTCATGAATAACAACTGTATCAACAAAAAGACAGATGTTAAACAACTGAGTGTCATTTACCCATATTTGCTAAACTGCGAAAAATTGGAGAACTTACATATCTCCCCAAATTTCGACTCTTCACAACCATAAATAGAATCTGTGTTTTGGCCGATTCCACCAGTAAATTTCATTCCACTCAAAATATAATAATTCTCTTCTCACGATTTATTAATAATTGTTAATTTAAATTCCCATTAATTAAAATATAGTTTATTCAACTGCCTCTGGTCGGTTTAACAAATTCTTACATAACATTCTGAAAATCACATCATCTGAAGTGATTTGGCAACGTTAGGCACACGCCCACAATTCGTTCCATCTTTCAACACAGACATTGACAGCCTTCGGCCTTCTGTCAAAGGGTTTCATCTCACTCATTATTCCATGACCACTATTTTGTACAATCATCAAGTGGCTTCACGATGTAATGCTCTAATGTTTTTTAAATAATTTTTAATCTGTTTTAAACTTGTTCTTGTCATATTTTATATAATTTTGACCATTGTACAATCTATCCAGCTCTCACCATGTTACTGGACGTTTCCCTCATCCTATACGTAAACAACAATTAGCAACATCCTCACATACTACTGTAAGTTGAGTCAATTTAAATTCATTTTACACTTTTGTTGCTACTGTTATCATTGTAATTACAGCTCCTGATGATGATGGCAAAGTCCATTGAAAGCTAGAGAGAATTAAAAAAGTATAAAGAGTCCTCTTTGCTTAAATTTTGTCGAAGTACCCAACAAAAGGCGGAAGCTTTAATTTTTCACCTATATATATATATATATATATAAATAAGGAAAATAATGGGCAAAATCCGCAAAAAGGAGTAAAGTGGATTCGAGCAGAAAATAGGATAGGTAACCCGAGCGATACGTATATCTGCTGGTTGGCTTCATCAGACCCGAAATGAATGCACATATGCAACTACAAAAGTAGAGAAACACATGCCCACACATCCGGATACGGTTGTAACCTGAGGAAACGAAGATGGAGCGGGAAAAAAATCGACACACGAAGTCCACAACAAGAGCCAACCTACACATTGTAGTATAAAATGTCTAGAAGACTTTGAATTTTCAAGGAGACATCTAACCACAACCACGCGGCCGGTTATAACCACTTGCTGTGGTACTTCAAGCCTAAAGGATCTACAAATAGAAAATGATCATGCGGAGAAAGGTATATAACAAAAAGTAGGAAAATAATAATAATATGTATCGCTCGGGTTACCTATCCTATTTTCTGCTCGAATCCACTTTACTCCTTTTTGCGGATTTTGCCCATTATTTTCCCACTTTTTGTTATATACTTTTCTCCGCATTATCATGTTCTCTTTGTAGATCCTTTGGGCTTGAAGTACCACAGCAAGTGCCTATAACCGGCCGCGTGGTTGTGGTTAGATGTCTCCTTGAAAATTCGAGGTCTTCTAGCCATTTTATACTACAACGTGTAGGTTGGCTCTTGTTGTGGACTACGTGAGTCGTTTTTTTCCCGCTCCGGATGTGTGGGCATGTATTTCTGCTTTCGTAGTTGCATATGTGCGTGCATTTAGGGCCTGATGAAGCCAACCAGCAGAAATACGTGTCGCTCGGGTTACCTATCGGGTAGGGTGCCCTAACTTTGCGCAGGAGGTAAGATTGCGCAGCTCCCATATTTCGAAAGCAAAATGACATTGTCGACTAACTTCTCTCGTGTTCTGGGCCGTTGCTGTGAGTGAGTGCGCGGTAGAAAAAACAAACCAAAAACCTATCAAAACCTAGTCGCAAGGTAAGTTTGAAGTTAAATATCGATTCTGATGTTATTGTTTCTCAATTTCAAACTGTAATTACATGAAAACCTGAAGTACTATCAAATATTTGACCAGTGTTTTCGTTTGCGTGATTTAACCTATACAGCCGGCGAGCGATATAATTTTTGATATTTTCAATAGATGGCGTTAGGAGTCACATAATTGTATATTGGGCTATTCCCTAAGACTGCGCAGAGTCACGGTCCGTAACACTACGCGCGCAGACTTACCCTACCATAACTTTTAATTTGATATAACAACCTTAAATATTCATTTTCAGAATGCCTAATCAAAGAAAAATGTCGTCGGAACGTTCGCTGTGCCCTCAATATGTTTTAGAGGAAGCTAGAAGACGAATAGAAAATGGTGAAAGCAAAAGAAAAGTAGCATCGTCGTACGGGATGAAAGAAAGTACTTTGCGGTATCGCCTGAAGAGAAAAGAAGCTGCAAAAAAGCTTGGTAGATATGATGCAACTCTTTCTCCCGAAATTGAATAGGAATTTTGTAATTATTTGGAAGATCTTGACAATATGTTTCAAGGGATGACTCCTAAGAATTTGAGGATTGCTGCTTACGAGTTTGTGGTGAAAAATAATATTCCTCATCGTTTCAATGCCGAAAAGAAAATGGCAGGCAAACACTGGCTTCGTGGATTTCTCAGTCGGCACCCAGATCTTTCACTAAGACGTCCAACTTCCACAAGTATTGCTAGGGCGATGGGATTTAATAAGCCACAATGTGAAAGGTTCTACAAAAATCTAGCAGAATTGATGGACAAGTATAAGTTTCCTCCAACTTCCATTTATAATATGGATGAAACTGGTCTGTCTACCGTACCCAACAATCCTCCAAGGGTCATATCAAAAAAAGGAAAGCGCGCTGTTAATAAGATTTCTAGCGCTGAAAGAGGAACGAACGTAACCGTAGTGAATGCTATGAGTGCATCTGGACACTTCATTCCTCCCGCTTTCATATTCGGTCGCAAAAGGATGAAAGCAGAATTGCTGGATGGCGCACCACCAGCGTCTATTGGAATGGTCTCAGACACAAGTTATATTAATAGTGAACTTTTTTTAAACTGGCTAGGTCACTTTAAAGATCACACAAGACCAACTAAAGAACACCCTATCCTTCTGGTTCTTGACAATCATGTGTCGCATTGTACAATAGGGGCTGTAGACTTTTATCGAGCGAATAACATAATAGCTCTAACCATACCTCCACACAGCAGCCACAAGATGCAACCACTAGACAAAGGTTTTCATAGTGCGTTGAAGACTTATTTTGCGAGCGAATGTGAAAAATGGATGAGAAACCACCCTGGCAGAGCTATAACTGCTTTTCAGATGACGTCTTTATTCGCTCCAGCGTTTAATAAAGCAGCTACAGTTGGTTGTGCTGCTGAATGTTTCAAGGTGTCCGGAATCTACCCATACAATTCAGATATCTTCACAGATGCAGATTTTCTTCCTAGTGCTGTGACCGAAAGAGAAATGGATGATAACCAATGCTCAGAATCACAACAGGAGAATCCTCAAGAAGCAACACCCCATCAACAGAGAGAACCAGTTATGGATAATGAGCCTCGTGTTTTCAACAAGGAGCCAAAAAAACCATCAACTCCGAGGAACGCTTTTACAGCAATTGAGAATGTTTCTCTAGTAACAGAAGCTCCAGCCGAACCAGTTGTGAGTTCTGAGTCAGGGCAAAAGAAAAACTTCGACGGTCCTCCAGCTGAAAAAAATGGTGGTATCTTCCAAGTTCCTGCACAGGTACCATCTTGCAGCAATGAATCGGCCGCAATCAAAGTGAAACTCCAAGATATTTGCCCTATACCAAAATCAGGTATAAGAAAGACCGCAAACAAGCGAAAACATAAGAAATCTGAAATACTTAGTGGTTCTTCATATAAAGAACAGCTATTAGTAGAGAATCAGTTGAAGAAAACTCCTGAGAAAAAAATTAAAAAAGTTTGCAGAAGGCCTTCTAAATATCCTAAAAAAAAGAAATGGGCATGTGGTGGCTGCAATGAGGAGTATAAAGAGCCGATTACAGAGGATTGGATCGGTTGTTCTGTTTGTTCTGAATGGTGGCATGAGAAATGTACGGCCTACGTAGGCATTGGACAGTTTAAGTGCGATTTATGCGCTTAAGATACCTTATTCTGTTTTAGTTCCTACTTTTAAGTTTTTGTTATCTATGCGCAATCTTAACGATCTGAATGCGCAATATCCAGGGACCCGTAGTGGTAAGACTGCGCATTTACATCTTTGTCTTTTTTTTTTATTACTAACAAAATTGTTATCAGATGTTTGAATAAAACTTAAATTAACAAAGTACATTAATGTGAGCCTAAATAGAAATTAAGATTATTACAATAGGTTATTGATTCACGATTCTACGGCTTATCAAACCTTAAGTGCGCAGACTTGGGGCACCCTACCCTCCTATTTTCTGCTCGAATCCACTTTACTCCTTTTTGCGGATTTCGCCCATTATTTTCCTACTTTTTGTTATATGCCTTTCTCCGCATGAGAATTTTCTCTTTATATATATATACAGGGTGACTTCGAAGTTGAGTCATTTATTTTAACAGTGAGTAGATCTGATCAAAAGAAATGTTTTTTCCTTTACCATTTTTCTGGTAAAATTAAAGTAACAAAGTTATAGCCCTTTGGAAGTTTGAGTACCGCCCTGTCTCAATAATAATATCATGTGCTCGTGTTTGGCAACAACGGATATAATCCGCCTTATCGGTTCATCGCATAGGAAACAAAAAAGCGAAAGAATTTGGAACGATGTTTTTACAATTGTTTTATTCAGTTCAGTTATACATACAGTCAGTGTCGTCAGTCGGTAACGCGTGTGAATAGTGTCTGTTGCGTGGCTCAAACGAAATAAAAAATGGCACATGTTTATGCGGATCGGTTTCCCAATCGAGTGCAACCAACCCCTCGTGCCTTTGTTAATGTAGTACAACGGGCGCGTTAATCAGGTGACTTAAGACCTCACAGGGGACCTCACGATCAAATACAGGTCCGCACTGAAATACTTGTCGGGAGAATACTTTATAAAACAAGGTAAACATTTTTTTTTAATTTTTTTTATTTTTACACACATATTTTGGTTTATCTTCCTTCTACAATCATTATCTGAAAATTAATGACTCAACTTCAAAGTCACGCTGTATATATAAATATTTGACTTTGTCAGCTGCTTTTACTTAAATTGATGAAGTACTGAAGTTTTAACCTACTGACAATATTTGTAAAAATTGGGGAAGATCTTCCATCACAAGGAAAAGCTAGAAAAAGTGTTCTTTCCAGTTTGATGGTAAAATGTTGCTATTGAAAAAATCTATAATAATTCCAAAATCTTCTCAATTAAATTTCATAGCGAGGCCCAGTTTTTATCAGTACAAAATATAGCCTATCATCCGCAAAGCCAACAATTTCTCATTGAATCTCTGACAAAACGTGGCACTTATATATAGCGGTTGAACAGAACTGGCTCTAAAACTAGTCTCCGTGGTATACCATATATTTCGTGACCAAGTCTACCTGTGGTGATATCTGGTTGCCATTTCATCGCTTTTTCTTTACATTCTACAGGTTTTTTACGTAATAACCCTTATGTAAAGGTTTCCATGGATGCCACACAACATGACTGTTTTAACTACCGAGATAATATGCCGTGTAAAATAGTTGTATAAATGTTTTTGCAACAGTTGAACATTTATCCTATAAGGTGTTGTATAAGTATGCTACAAGAATGTTTTACACATCTCAGTTTAGAGCACATATGCTGCAGGAAGCAAATTTGCATTTCACACAATATTAAGCCTGCATCCTGGTGTTCAGGCAACAACAAAAGAGAGCTTTTTCGGCTTAACCGTTCCTTTACCAAAAGCTAATAGCACTAGTTTCCTAGTTGGGAATGCAGTTCGGTAAATAGTAAAAGATCAGATAGTTACACAGTCAACTATAATTTTCCAAATTGCAAATACTATACCTCTAATCTAAATTAGATCTGTTCTAAGTGTAACTTTTAAAATTACAGTCAGTGTCATCTGTACCCGTACACGTTCCAGTATCCGTCCCAGTAGTCAGTCACGGGTTCGCTGGATACGGGGGTGGAGCCGGTGGATCTGGCGGAGCTAACGGAGCCGGCGGATCTGGTAGTGCTGGAGGATACGGGGCAGCTGGAGGATATGGTGGAGCTGGGGGATATGGCGGAGCTGGAGGATACGGGGGATACGGAGGCTATGGAGCTGGACAAGGAGTAGGATCATCATCAGCTAACGCTATTGGTGCAGCGGGTACCGGAGCTGGTGCAGTAGGATATGGCGGAGGATATGGAGGATACAACGGTTGAAGATGAGTCAGACGAAGGAGTATTGTACAGATGATACCAGATCAAGTCTAGAGTATTTATATTTTTTTAAGTTAAATAAAGATTAAAATTGACACGTTGATCTATGCATAAAGGGTGTTCAAGGCTCTCTGTCCTGAACAAGAATGACCATAAGTCCTAATAGTTGCTAGTTTACTAATTTTTGAGCGTAGTAGAGTAGGATGATCGATAGGAAATGTTCCTTGAGGAATGATCGCAAAATTCTGATAGCTGTTGTAGTTGAACGGAAAACGAGTCTGAATCTAGGTTTTTCATACCATATAACATTTTATAAAACCTAACTTCGTCTTTATAGGCGAGACCGATAGACGATGGCGAGACTTCCACTTTCTATCTCCCAAAAATGTTTCTGCTAGCAGTGTCTCTATGTAAAGGCAGGAGTTCCACGCCCACTTTCTCTCAATTATACCCTACCCTACCCCCAGAGAGTAATTCTTTAGCGCAATACGAGAGGAATGCTCTTTGAGGAGTGATTCCAAGCACTGGAAGCTGTTGACGTTTATAAAGCAAGTTTGCGAATGCATCCATTTTGCTGCAAAATAATAAGTTCTTCACCCGAGAATGACTAGATGAGCGACTCTCCCAAAGTAACGCCCACTTCCTCCCAGATATTCTACTGCCTTATTTCGAGAATTGGCTCACTGAAGTAGTTGATTAGGAATTCAAAATCAGACTTTGATTAAGCCAAACGGTGATTGTTAAATGATGAGTGGTTTTCGATAAAAACAATTGATCACCCCAGTCAAAGGACACTTGTTTTTACTGCTTCATATACTTTTACTTCTCAAGCCTAGTGGCGTGGAAGGTTTGCGATCGCCAAAATTTTCTAAAATGAGATATAATGTTTTTTGGATGTTACACGACATGTACATCACGAAAAATCATATCACTCTCATGTTCGTCGCTTTATCCGCTAATCTTATAGCAGCTTATAACTTTAGAAGTATCATTCGGATTTCCACAAAATTTCTACACAATGTTAATACTATGACAAGGACGCAAAACCTTTATAGTTTTTAGAAATCACTCCAATGATGACAAAGAAAAGAGCCAAAAACGAATAAGAATAAAAATAGCTCAAACTTCGTTTTTTGACATTTCAGAAGATCCTGCTTTTTTTGGAAAAAAGAGGTAGGAAAACTTGTGGGTGGCAGTTGTAGGGAGTGGGGAGGGCTTATCTTAATTGTTTGATGTTACATTTGTCCGCTCACAACCTTGGTAATTCCACGCACCTATTAGACATACTTCACACATCATAGACTTCTCCGAACATTAGCCTTCAAAAGATAAGCCTAAAAAACATTCTCAGCAGAAGCAGCGTACCAACCCGCTACAGCTGCTGCTCCGGACCGCGAGCCGTTGGCGCTGGCGAGTTTTTCTGGTATGGTTTACACGTATTTCTGCCAGATCACAGCATAGCGTTTCCCATGCTCTGACCGCAATGCCGCAACTGACTGGGGAGAGGCGACGTTTCCAAATGCACTACCGGTAGGGTAGATAAGAAATGTCAATGGACCAATTGAATGGACCCATTTTTCTCAGAGGGTCCAGCTTGTGCTGAAGATAATCCTTTAGGAACTGATAACGGAGTTGCGTGAGAAGTGCAGAGTCAACCTACTTGACGCAATTTCTACCAAACTCATTGAACCCGATGTTTGACAGGCTGTCGTCTCTAGCCAAAGTCATATAGGAGAAGTTCCTGAAACGTGAGATGTAAATTTAGGGGTGATTTCTTGGGCCATTCCAAAAAGACTATTTTGTCCTTTGACTTTGACGATTTCAGAGAAACGTTTCCGTTTCAAAGAGATAGCTCAAGCTAAATTGCTCAAAATGACGACATCCGGGTAGAATTTAAAGCTTTTACTCTTGTCGCAGACCATCGATCTCTCAGATACAGGATCGCTTCTTATTAAGCTTCATTCAGCAATTATCCAGTTTTTCGCAGAAGTTATGGAAACTAATAACCCTAAGTTGTTAAATCTCACTCAATAAGGAACGATCTAGACGTATTCGAACGACATCGGAAGCCTAGGACCACCTAGGACGAACTTAGTCTCGTCTATGGACTAAGTCGGAAATAAACTCAGCTGGAAAAAATGAATAATGAGTATTTATTCTTGAAGGTAAGTGAAAACGGCCCACATCGAGAGATGCTGTGAAACTTTTCTTTATCAAACGTCTAATTATAAAAACCGCTTTTTCACGTATACCTATTGAAATATCTATCAAAGCTCAACATCTTATTAAACTAACCGTGCAAAAAAGTGTCGCCAATGCTATAAGAATATAATTCTGTTTTAAAACCCGTTTTTCAGCTTTTTATCTAAAGTTCTAGATACCCGTGTCTATCTTGCATTACAGCTGGATATATCTCAGTTATTTTAACTTTTTAATAACAAGTAATTTTTCCAGTAAAAAGTTGCGATTTTCCGAAAACTTCTCACTAGACATAGTGGTCTCAGAATTCCCAAATAATCGCTTTTGAAATATTTCCCCATGATTGAAAGCGCTCTGTATGTACGTTGAAGTACGAAATATCCTTTATTGTCAATACTCGTAGTTTTCATATTCAGTAGACCATAAATCATGGGAACAGTTTTTTGTACACTGTCATTTATTTACTCATAAAAACAGTATAAAGGTAAATAAATACGTATATACAAGCTGGACACCAACTATCTATGTGCAAACTTAGTGCAGGAACACAGGGCTCTTTACAATAGCTGGGGCGGCGATGATAGGGGCGGTCTTAATGACTGGGGCGGCAGCAATGACAGGGGCAGCCTTGATAACCGGGGCAGCTGCTACTACAGGCACTGCAGGCCCGGAATACTGAAACATTGAAAAATTCATGATTATACAGGATGTTCCTAAAACGTGGGACAAATATTTCAGAGGTAATTTTCTCCTCAAATTTCAGAAAACCATTTTGTTTCGGAGATATAGGCCCTGCCGCATGTCAGCAGAACACAGTTTTTCGTGAATAACTTGTGAATGACCCTACGAAATTTTTTAAAACAAGAATACACTGTTAAACAAAGGATCAGAATCTCTAAAAACATTAGATACTTTTGAACCATTAATATACAAGGTGTAAAGAGTATCATCACAGCGCTTGGGATAGTCCATTCCTATGTTAATTGTTTTCCATGGTCACCACCGTGTGATGCCAGCCAGGCTAAAGAAGTCTTTTTAAATTTTTTTTTTGATTATATGGTGTTCTTCAGAGGTTATTTGAGAAAAACCGACTTACAGTAACGTGCTTCGGGAACCTGCATCTCCGATATTTCGAAAGTATCAAAAGCAAAATAGTCTGAGAATAATCGAAAAAAGACCGAGATAATCATGAGCCGCATAGCCAAACAGGATGTCGTAACTTTTAGAGCAGAATCAGTTTGACTTATAGACATACTAGTTGGTGCAAAAAAGAGTTTACATACCCACTGTACGTAAAGACTTGATGGCATGGACGCCACTGATGTAAGTGCTTTGGAGAACAATGTGTACATGTTACCGTGATTTTTGATATAACATTTGTGTGTACCAGAACTCAGCTCAATGTCTCAATCTATTTTCGCAAAGCTTAAGGTGAACTATCAAGACCAGACGAGCTTAAACTACCCAGTGTTAAGTAAGCGAAGCATTTTGGGACCTATAGTTACATGATATTTTATTAATATTTTAATGTCCTTCAGTTTGAAGTTAGATATGAGAATTATGAATTTCTTAAGCTTTTGAAAAAAATTCAAATGATATGCTATAAAGTTGAAAGGCTTTTCAAGTAATATAGTGTCCGAAAGTAGAAACATTCAAAACTAAATTAAACACTTCTAAAAATTGTGTGTTAGTATTTACCTGGATATGGCTGGCATATGAGGTAGCTACTGGAACTGCAGCCTTAACAGCAACTGGAGCTACGTGAGCTACAGGAACGGCGTGCGCTACGGGAGCTACCACAGGTGCGCCGATGAAGCCTGCATGGGCTACAGCGAAAAGGAAAGAAACAGCTGCTACCTGAAAATGAAGTATTCTTAATTTACAGATCATACAATCTAACATTTGATGTCCTGTTACCGAAACAATAGTTATCTGTGTCCTTGATGACAAACATTTTTTTATGAAGATACATGGTAGAAGAATATGTGGTAGGGTTCAAACGTACTTTTAACTTAAGAATAAATACAAAACTAGTAGTATAAGTGCTATTGCCCTACATTATCCTGTCTAGCTCTTATTTTTGATGCACTTTAATTTTTCTTTCTCTATTACTTTCATTTTTTTCTATTTACTGGTGAAATATGATAATTGGTACCTAACATTCGCACTTGGACGTGGGGAACCCCTAGAATCTGAATCGCCACTATCAGTAGGTATGTACCTATATCATATATTGAATTCCTTAGCACATCGCATGAGATACTTCACATAGATATAATATATTTCAAGAACCCTATGATAATAACAGTTGAGTTTTTCTAGGGGTTTCCTTCGAACGTAGCTACCAGAAAAATGATATTCCCCAGATAAAGAGAAATGAAAGTGAAAATAATAGAGGATGAAATAAAAAAATGTGCTTTAAAAATAATGGCTAGACAGGATAAATAGGGCATTTACTTTAACGACTTATGCTGCTGGTTATGTATTCATTCTGTGATTTAGCTAGTTCGCATTATATAATCTGCCAATGTCGGTCTGACGATGTTCTTCAAATAAAAGTAACCGTCTTTCTCTCTGTTGTCGAGATCTCTGTGAAGGGTCTCATTGGAGACATAACAATGTTCGCAACGTTTTGGCGAGAAAACACCAAGCCAACAGCCAAATTTTGTTGATAAAACTTAATTGTGATGTCCTACTTAGCAAAGAGTTGCTAAAATATAATTTGGAATATGGTTAGTTTGCTGAAATTAAATATTGCATAGTGTCAAAGCTATTCCACGGCTACTGCTATTTTGATGGAAACGACCACTGTGGTAGCCGAAACCTCAGTTAAAGGCAATTTGCATCTATGCGGTTTCATTTGGTCAGAACAGTGGTACGCGTTGCAATTTTTCTTCTGTTGGAAAAATAAACTGTTTTGAGTGTCTTCCTAAATTGACTCAGACTATAAGAAATATCTTCTGTTCTGATGATATACGAAGTTTGATCCAGGTTCCCAACAATTTTAGAGATATAAAACATTATTTATTCTCAGATAAATTTACATCGTTGGAAGGATGAAACTTTACTCTATTTTCCTACGTAACCATCATCTTTTAGGCATTTTTGTAAACAATATTTCAGTTTCTGTATCCCGTTGAGGAAGCGTTACCCCCTCCTTGATATTATCATCGCTTAGTAAGTATTTTTCACTTCAAATGTTCTTTTAACTCCAATTTTCAGTTTTTGCAATGTTCGGAATTAACAAAATTCTCAGTTTTCAAAATTTTCAAATGTTATTCCACACTTTTAAAATTGATGGGAACCTTATTTCTGGATCAACCCCGGTAGTTTTGCATTTCAGTTTTTTTTAGAATTGCACGAAATAAGGTGGTGCCTGATAGTTAATACTTTTTTTATAAGAGAATAAAGTTCCCTTATTCGATAATATGGGATATCTTAAAAAATTATTGCATAGTGACATTGGTAATTGAAAAAAAAATAGTCCAAACAGACTATAATGCCATTTAATGTATGAGACTTATGCTAAGAAACTTTGAATTGTATACTGTCTACAAAGAAGTACTTACGATTTTCATCATGATGAAGGAGTGTGTGGTGTATAGGTGCGTTTGCAATGTACGTTGAATCAATCTAAAGCTGCGATGGTAACACTGACGACCAATCAAGGGTTGTCGAGTTTTTATAGTCGTTGTTTAAGTTGGCGCTCCTCCAAGATGTAGTGGACCCCGTCGGCAACCGACGATATCGCTTCAGGCAATAAGATTCGGGTTCTGGGTCAATGTTACGCAAAATGGGCGCCTACTCTGCTTCACGATATGACTCGCTTTCATTGTGCATTGCGATTTGAGCCGTGATAAATTATCCATCGTACTCGTCATATAGTACAGGAATTTCTTGCAGCAAGTCAAACATTTTAAATGAAAAAATAGTGAAAATAGTGTCTATACGATATTTCATACAATGAAAGATTGTTCAGAATCGGAAACAGGAATGGATGTTATTCGAAGGAAAATTGGCAAACAGCAGGTTTCCTTTAGAACTCATGCTTTACACCAGATTAGATAAGCAACTAAATGCAAACTAGTATGTACTCATCATTTTCCAAATACCATCTAGAGAGGGGCTATTAGAAAAAGTTTTTTTATAATAAAGGGGTTCAGAGAGCGGAGCCAACAATGACACATTTGTATTATATTGAAACAGATCTGGCTCAATTTTCACACTCTGTATACATCAATAGCTATTTAGAAATTAAGAAACTCGTAGTTCGGTCCTGCATATTGTGTTTACAACATGCTAACATGTGTAACGTCATGCCTGATGATTTTTTCGTATCGACTTCAAATCCCCTACAACATACCATGCACTCATAAAATAATGATGAAAATAGTCCACGGAAAAGAAATATTTCCATAAAAAGCAGCTGCAAAACATAAATGCATGTCACTTAGTCGGAATTTATATGAAAAACTCGTGACTGTGACTTGTGACCAAAGACATTACGCTTTATCCCCAGAAGATTCTATATCAGCGATTTGAATACATATTCCTAAATTGTTCTACAAGAAAAAATATAGGGGATCAATTTATAGCGGTAAAGGACTTAATCAGCATCGCTATGGAGATGGTTTGACGTGAACGGGAGACGTTAATTGCTACTGATGTTGAGAAGAAGCCCAGTTGCTTATAAATATAGCTGTCTACTTTCTACAAAATCCAGATAAGACTCAACCTGTCTAGGAGCTGATACAGCTTCAATCTTCCTCCACATCGACGAATAATCAGCATTCATGCCAAAATTCCAGGAAACATGTTAGCTCTCTTATTCCTAGGTTACCGAAGATATTAAACTATCTGCCAGGACAGGTTTGTATCAGCAGCACCAGATCTCACTAACCAATCAAAATGAATGACTAGATTAGTATCATGTGTTTCATAGTTTCATAGCACAACTAGTACTTACTCTCAAACATCTATAGTAGGCCTGTTCTTCTAAATGTTCTCAAGGATCAAGTTTCATTTAGCATACAAATGATGACTTTTGAATAATCAATCAATGGAAATAATACGCTAAGAGTTCTAATGAATTCTTAAAATAAGATCACATAACCGCTATATCTGCACTATAAAAATCACGACGTTCAGCATCAGACTTAACCTTCCCTTGACCATTGTTTGCAAGTAGTACCATCTCGTCCCCCAAAGACCACTCAAGATAAATGGCTTCAGTTCAAAATTACCATCGACCATAATTGGAATCGCTTCTTTTAAAGTATTCGATTGCATAGAAACAAAACAAGCAGATTGCCTTTCGTTAAATTACAAATTATTTGCAAACAAATTGATTGTATGTATCTACTCTACTCTCTTTGTATAACATTTGATCTTAATAGATAGTTTTATTCCTCGCAAATATCACATTTTTTTAAATTGAAAAACATTTCTAGCGTTGGATGATCTATTGAACTTACAGGAATTTATTAAAGTATGTTCAAATTATGGGGTTTCACGTCTGTGTGATCATTGCAATCTCCTATATGCAAAGAGTTTGCCACTTAGTCCAAGAAATATCATCGCATCCGCCCAGAAAAATGCTCTGATTCCTTTTCTAATATTCTAATCTGAAAAAGCACCACTTCTAAACAAACTTGCATGTTGTCAAGCCCAAAATTGCGTCAACAATTATTGTTATTGTTTATAAATTCTAAAAGTCGATGCAATTGCGATGTTGTCTTTATGGATTTTTTATTTGCTTCTCTATTTTTCATTTGAGCGATCAAAAACAAACAAAAACTACAAATGAAATTAAACAAAATGCAGCGAAAGTCGGAAAGCAACGTAACTGTCCCTAGACTTTACAAACGAAATCGACTAATACGAATGCATAATTAAGGTTTATTTCTTAAGAAATCTGAATTTCACCAGCTATGGGATTTAGCAGCTTTCATTCGAGTTTCTTTTGTAACCTTCTCCCAAAGGCTCAGCTCAGATTTCTATTTGAGATTTAAATTCTGGGTTCCTGAAGGCCTTGATATGGCATCGATTCTATTAGGTCATTTTTCGAAATAGGTATCGCGTTGCCTACCATTAGTATCAATGTAGGTTTAAGAAGTGGGGTATATACCTTTTGACCGTCTCAAAAATGTGTTTCGCTGATAATGGAAAGGATTAAAAAGTGAATCAAAAACCAATTTTCCTCTCTTAAAAAACTGTCTGATAACTGTTTTTGAAGTGCGTTAACTTTTCGGAAAAGTAAATCAATTTTGATATCATCTGGACCTTTCAAAGACGCAAATATAATATGGCTATCACTAACAGCAGCTGGATTAACCCGGAGGCAATCAATGCACCGAGTACCAGGCCGAGTACCGGATAGTCGGTATTTGAATCTAACCGAGTACTCGGTAATCAGCATTTTGAAGAAAGCAGCACTTGGTGCATCCCTAATCATTGTGTCACTGCACCTTATGGCAGACAATTATATTGCATATAATCTGACATGCAAGAGTGTATGCAATAAAAAATCCATCTATACCCCACACACATCTTGCTTTATTTCATTTAAGCCCATCCTTATTGAAAATAAAGTTTTTACTGTACATCCTTAATTCTTTCAAACTCTGAACGCACTAAAAAGACTCATCGAATTTTGCATGTACATTGCATCGTTTGCTTGATGTGGCTAGAATATACGTAAGTTAATGAAGTCTTTCTATAGCAATACACGATCAGATCACTGAGGCTTCAATGATTGATGATGTTAGTAGATGTATTCTCATTAATCTAAGAGCTTCTCAATCACAAAGCTGGTCTTCTTCAGTACAACGACAATATATTTGATTTATCTATATTCTAGGTGACACTTCGTTTGTTTTTGGTTTTCATTATCACATTCATATCCAGTGTGTTACTATAACACTCCGAAAATTCCATAACATGCTGAAATTGTTGCGAAGTCATCATTCCGAATTTTAAGATGTGTCCACGCAAAGTCAACATAGTCCAGGGCCGCCTAGGGTAGGCATTCCCGTCCTCAAAAAAGGACGTCCAGCCCCCCAAAACGACATGCGAGTATGGAGCTATATGTTGTTTTTCAATATAGTAACATACTGTATAGGAATGTGATAATGAAAAGAAAAAACAACTGAACTGTCACCTGGAAGACAGATATATTGTCATTGTACACAAGAAGATCACCTTTGTGATTGAAACGTTTACAGTAAAGAATACCCTACCAATACATGTGGTTTTATTGGCCAAAGAAGCTTGGGAGATAAATCGATATGAAAACCATGGGATAAGTTTCAGCTGTTACAATAACTTAGTCTTTCCGGTACAATTGTACGGGTCTATTTGACCTATCATAGTTTTTATTTATTCACGATTGAAGTTGACCATGTGCAGAAGATTATGAACTGTGCATTTTTTATCCGACAAGTAAGTTAAGTGCACCTCTTTCTCGGCCACATCAATAGGCGGACTAGTTTTACTGTCTGGGGATTGAGATTAATTGCTCAGATTGACTACAACGTAATGTCTTACAGGGTCGAGTTTTTTTATTCTGCAAGATAGACTCATATTGGCATCAACCTTTACACGCGCGTGAGACATCCTTGTGAAATTTCGAATACCGGTTTCATATCAAACAGCAGTGTAACTTGGTAAGTTGTATTGAGCCTGGTCGAAGATTTCTGCACACGCTTCACGCTTCTAAGTCATCATAAGAGAAATCAAAATCTGTACCTCACAGCCAGACTAGGTTAAGTCCAAATAAATAGTTTTGTGATAATTGAATTTGAAATATTTTTCTTGTATTGTATGCGATTTGACATGAATTAAAAAGTCGTAACTTCCTTATTATTGCAAAGACATGGACGCTGAAAGTGGCAAATGAAAATTTACAATACGTTTTATCATGAGCCTAACATATTGGACTCATTTTTGACTAAAATGGACCTAATCTAGTATGGCACTGGGGTACATACAGGGTGGCGCATCGAAAACGAAACAGACGCATTTACTGGCAGTTCAGTTTTTTTTTTGAAAAACGCTCAGACCCGTCGATTTTGTTTTCGAGGGGGACACAAGTTTGGCAAAAAATCACGTTAGTACGTGCAGCCCCTTAAGCGGGTGTGACACCACCCCCAAATTCTTAGATGGAAAGGGGGGTCGAGTGATACCTTATTTTAAAGGTCTTTCAATTCCCTTTGTAATGATATGAAATTAATGTGAACTGGATGAACTGAAGTTCAGTAGTTTTGAAGATTTATTGATTTAAAGCTTAAATAAAACTAATACATCATCATTAGTGGAGATCAATACATTTGGCAGCACAGTAATTTAAAAATGAAGAATGAACTGACCCGTTAGGCAAGTAAATGTTGAAAATGGCCACCATGACTCTCCATGCAATAATAAAGATTTTGCTCAAAACGTTGTCTCACACATTTTGCAATATTTGAGGAGTAATTTGAAGGCACTCATTCACAATTCTTTGTCGCAGGTATTCTAATGATGTTGGCTGGGTAGCATAGATTTTGCTTTTTAAATGACCCCACATAAAGAAATTCAAAGGTGATAAATCTGGCGATCTTGGGGGCCATTCAATGGCACCTCTTCTACCAATCCATCGATCTGGAAATGTCTGATCTAAATACTGTCGAACACGTAATGCGTAATGTGGTTGGACACCGTTCTGTTGGAACATCAACCTATTCGCAATGTACCGGCGATCATTCAGATTTTCAATTATGGCTGTTAATGCAGGATCTATGGCGTCTTCCAGTAATTCCAAATACATTTCACTGGTCAAATTTCC